AAGTTCCTATACATGCTACCCACTCATTCCTAATCCTGCCCCACAGCCTGTCATTTCTGCAGCTGTGGTGGTTGCAACTGTGAGGATGCGTTCTTTGTCAAATCTGTTTCAGGAGTTGTGTGACCTGATAGGTAGTTCTAGGTCCCAGGAGAACACAGAATAGCCCAAGCTAGCTCTGTTGTAGAAGCTTGCATCTCACGAAGCTACAGAGTGTGTAATACGTCTTATTTTAGTACGACTTTAAAATTTAGAGTGTTTTGTACAAAACACTAGAAGAAGATTACCAAGGTGCTTCTTTCACCTCTTATGAGCGCCAAACTCCTTTCAGGTGCTTCATTTTGCTGCCTGTAATGTTCTTGCTTGGTTCCCCCAATTTGTTTCAAGCCTCACGACCACTTTCTCATGTCCCCTTTTTAGGCTATGGAAAACTTAACTTCCTTCTTTATCCCTTTATTGTTATGGGATTTTCTTTTTTTTTTTGTAAAGTTAGCTAATTGCCAATTCTTTGTAACTTTACTAAAAAACAAGTAACGTATTGTAAATACCAAATTCATCTATTTTACTAAACCAAACTATCCATAGCTTGTATTGCAATGGAGTGAGTCAGGGACGCATGTCAATAGCTAGACACTTGTTCTTTGTATATCTAGAAAATTTTTCACAGCTAGAATCTAGTGGTCTTAATTAACCACTAGTAAAGGTGGTATTAAAATTGGTGCCATTATGGAGCCATAGTTGCCTTTCGGACAGAGCAGTGTTAATTGTCCCCTTGGGGATGATGCAGGGACTGTCGGAATTCTTGTACCACTTGTTAATTTGTAGCTTCTTTCACAACAACTTCTCCCTCCTTAGTAAGCAGCTTTGTAACTGGTACTACAGTAGGGTCTGAAAAGTGGTAAGATTACATGTCTGATGACAGTGTGTGGAGTAATTTTGGTTTAATAAGTAAACATGGAAGCATATTATTCTAGGTAGAAGTAGAATAACATTCTAGGTAGAAGTAGAATAACTTTCTAGGCTGACTTTTAATTGTAGGGAAGCTACGGCACTGAAAGTAGGCTTCAGAGGAAATAGCATTTCAACTGAAAGATGCTAGTCTGTATTTGAGACTTGTAAGTAGTCTGTAGTTACCCTATTGCCTTGGTTCCTTAACTGTAAAATAAGGATAAAATTACTGTCTCTGTTTTGTGTCTAAAAGTTGTGGGTTTGGATATTTAAATTGTATCATAGTGATAGAAGGAATTTTAAGTATGCTGTGGCAGTGATCTTCTGTATGGAGAAAGTAGTTGCCTCTAAAACACACGAAATTACAAGGTGCGTAGTGTGAAACTAGTTTCTAGTGCACGCTCTGGTAAGGGTATCTTGGATTTTCTTTGTATGATCCTACAACCGGACCACTATGGAGAATTTAACACTTTATTTATTTATTTTGATAAGATGGAAGAAATGTATAAAAAAGCCCATGCTGCTATACGGGATAATCCAGTCCATGAAAAGAAACCCAAGAGAGAAGTCAAGAAAAAGAGGTAAACCTGTTATCCTCTTTAACATGAATGTGACTTGTCTGTTGAATATCTTTTAGTTATGTTAAAATAAGTATAATTCATGTTGCAGTTGTGTCAAAGCTCACGTGTATTAGATCAGATTAAGATACAAGCATTTCTGTATAAGCTTGGGCAGGAGTTAACTTCAGTAGGAATCTAAAATTTAAGAACTCTCAACTGTATAAAAAAAATAAAGTGGAACATACTTGTACCCTGAACAGCTGGAACTCAGAAGCGTGTATCTTCAGGTCTTAGTGGGAAAGTTGCTTCTCTTCAGCTGAGGGCAGGCTGACTGATTTGTCAATACTAGACTATTGTGATTTTTCAGGGGTCTGGGAGAAAAGCTATTGCACTGGGCTCGATACTGTCTGTACTCTAGTCACAAGAGTATTGAGCTTTTGAAGAATTAAACCACTGCAGTCTAACCGTGCCTTTTTGCGGTGCCCTAACTACAGCCTTGAACCATTAAGAGGAAATAAACTGTTACAAGAGTGGGAGAATGTTCTAGTATAGCACCCTTAATCATAGTTCTGGTGCATTTTAGCTTTCTTGACTGCCTTTTTGCTTATTTGTGCCCTGGATATATCATACACTGTGTTTACATTGCAGATGGAACTGTCCCAAGATGTCCCTCGCCCAGAAGAAAGATCGTGTTGCTCAGAAGAAGGCTAGCTTTCTCAGGGCCCAGGAGCGCGCAGCTGATAGTTAAGACAACTTCCACAATTTTCTATGAAGCTTTGGAAAAAGCGGCAATAAATTTATTGAGTAAGCAACTGTGTAAGAGTGGCTTATTAATATATCTTATAAAGATGCAGAGTATTTTGTATGATACAGATACTCTGGTAGCTTAAGGGTTATTTTTTTTCCCCTTCAAAGCACTATATGAATTGAATGCCTTCACAGAGGAGGAGAGAGGTGACAGACTTCAAAACCAAGGCTGCAGCATTACAGTTATTCCCATAAGAAAGGGAAAATGAATCTGATAAATTTTTGATGCAACTAGTACAAAAGGTTAGATGTAAGAACTTGCCGCTTCTAACTTTTAAGTTTTTAAAAAGGGCTTTCCATGTCCTTCACCATTTTTCTTTCAGCATACTTAAGAAAAAAAGCAGTAGTTGCCACAGTACATTCTAAAGCCTCTGGCCAAAGGCAATCTGAGGCTTTCAGGAACACAAATGGCAACGCTTTCCCAGTGGTGACTTAACTGTAGGAATTGCACATCTAGTTGAAGTATTTCAGCTTCTTCCAGTAACTGAAGTAAGCACTTTCATGCACTCAGCTCCAAGCTCTGGCTGCTACTGAACAGTATTGTCCTAAGCTGAATACTTGATGTTATTTAGTGATTAGACAAGAGAATTCACTTCTGAGTTGCATATACATGTTTAGACACAGAGGCCTTGACTTGCCCCATCCCTTACTTTCTCCTACACCTCAGCTTCTTAGGCACTTATTATTTATTTGTTTCCCAGTGGACTTACTGAAGTTGTTTGCACAGTTAAAAGAGGAGTGAAGTAGGCTACAAGGAGGAATGTTTTGCTTAAGGTACTGATAGAGGGTAAGTACTGCTATTGAAAGAGAGATGGAGGCCTGTGATTTATTGTAAACAAAAGTGTATTTTGTTTTCCAATGAAACCTCCAACTTGATGTAACAGCAATAAAAATGAAGGTTCTGTTCAACGAAGTGCACTATTAAACATGTTTTCCATTTGTTTAAAACATCCAACATCATTCTGGATTCACTAATCTTCTCTGCCCAAAACCTAGTAGCAATTACAGTCAGATTTCTCCACCAAGAACACGATCACTTTACATTGGAGCACATTGCTGGCTACAAATACTTATTAGCTTGTGGTTGGAGGACGTTATGAAGTTAGAGACAATAATTAGCATAGTAATTTTTAAACAAAAAAGCTATTGTTTACAAAACAGTACACTCTTAACCCAAGCTGCATAATATTACATATGGTATGGAGAAATGACTTTATGATGGTCCTGTACTTCAGTTTAATCATTCAGGGAATGCATTTAATGCAGCATACCAAAAGCAACTGCCAACCTTCCAAATATTTAAATAAAGCTTGTCCTTCTTACCTATGCTGAAAATGAATTAAGGGGCCAGGATTTGTAAGTAATAGGGATGACTGCCATTAAAATCATTAAAGATTGAACTACTTCATACCTAAAGCATTTATAAATTAAACATTAATTTCTAAGTATTGAGCACAGTATTAAGGTGTTTCATGGACATCTAATTCTGCATAACTGAACACAGATCAAAGTCTGAGAAACCACGGGGATGCAGGCTGAAGATGGTAGAGTGGTCATGCCATGTGGAGTGGCAGGATCAGATGGTGTTTATTTACTCCTGAGTTGAGACTTAACGACTCGTAGATGCTACTAGAAAAAAAGAACAGTAACACTACAGCTCAGTTATGTTCCACCTCATTCCTAGCTGTTCCTATCTCATAGGCTCCTATTTAAGCAATGTTCTATGATCCTGAACAATCCAGCTTCTGTCCTACAGTTCAGGTCTAGCTCTGGCTTACGTAAATCCTCTTGAACTATTGCAGGAAGTAAGTACAAGTCTGTGGCTAAATTTGGAAGGACAGTAAAGAGTCAAGACTTCATCCACAGTATTGTTTCACATGTCATATAGCAGATCCCTATACTATGGAAGCTTCCTTTTTTAATTATTGGGACCATTTCTGCTATCAGTATTTGTAAAAATTAACTTCAGTTCTCATACAATAGCTTAGTCCACAAACTCCTTTTCAATATTTGCTACAGCTTAATTTGGGTTAAAGGTTCCAACTGAAGTACAATAATTAGTTTTTGAAAAAGATGTTGATATTGCTGCTAGACTATATACATGATTTTAAGAAAAAATGTATTCTAAAATTCTTGGCTCCCAACATGGTTCACTGTATAAGGACTGAATTAAAAAGTGTTGAACTACTTAAACATTCAAGATGTAAGCATGAGGTAACAAGGTGTAAACAGAATCTGATTTAAGTCTCATATAACAACCTGTCAGTTCTAGAATAAAATTCTAATTTTCCACAGTTTAAAAATTATTAATGTGCAAATTCTGCCATGCCAAGGTATTAGTAAACTTCAATCTCACAGTTCAGTTTATTCACAACAGCAGCTTGGACTCAGACACGTTATTTGCAGTAGTGGCGATTCTTCATAAAACTACTTAGGATAAAAATCTTTTGCAGGTATTTCACAAGTAAGCAATGATTTTCACAGAATTGTGAGATGTTCCATCAGCTGATGTGGTGGCACAGTGAATACTTTAATCCTGTTCAAGATCTGACAAAGTGCACAGAACAGTCAAGCATGCAGGGTTTTTGTTTCCGTAACATAGCACTGGAACACCAGAAGTGCTTCTGCCCGATGGTTCAGTGGCGTGTTCGTTCTCTGAGAAGCCATGTCATAAGGTACTCGCTGAAGGGCAAGAGCTAAAGAGCCATGGATGAAATCTGAGTAAAGAAACATCTTTAGAAAATGCTGCAGATCGTTTTTATCAAATGTGGTAGGCCACCTCTAGTGGCAGGCATCAATATTCTCTTCTTCGGTTGGAGAAGCTAAGAATCATTTGTATGGGAAATTTTCTTCCACAGTAAGGTTTTTAAGTTATTGAGTATTAAAGAATGCTCCATTTCCATCTGGTTTGCTGTGGCTTTAAGGGCAATACACAAGTACAGTTGTTTTTCTAGTTCTTCATGGATATCAGATGGAGCACCACGAAGCAGATAGTCTTTCAGTAGCTGACAGGCTTTTGCCAAGTTTGGCTGAATTACTTCTGTGGTACATCTCATTTTGCTTTGGTCACATAGAGTTCTACAGTCTGTACCATAAATGCAGTCCAAATCTGATTCACACTGACGATCTTTAATTATTTCCTTCAAATTAATTTCTGGCACAATTTTTCTCATGTCCACCATTTTCAAATCATATTTATCATTATATCCCAAGTTTTTGGCACTTGTATCACACATAAGAAAGTTTCCATAAGGTCCATGGAAAATGTCTTCCACAAATTCTAAAAGCCCTATAGCTATTTTTGCCTTTCTTGGCCATGATGGAGTAAACCATTGGTCCATGCTTCTTCTGAAGCCAGAGGGAATGAAAAGTTCTATAATCCATGGAAGGCTGATTCCATACAGAGAGGTATATTCAACTCTTTCAGTCACATAGAGATCCCCACAAAATCCCATCAACTTGGGAGTATGTTCTTTATCTTGCAAGATGACCATTAACAAAAACTCATCTAGCTGCAGAAGCGCCCATGCAGATTTCGCCTCTGGCAAAGAAACTCTACCATCTTTGTTTCCATCAGCAAAAGATAAGATGAGATTAACCAGTTCTGAAAGATTTCCTTGTTCACCCAATTTTGCCTAAAAGCAACAAATAAAAAAGATTAAGTATGATTTCATTAACTACCACCAATCCACCTGTCGTTCTCCTGTTACTCTACTTCTATGGAGAGCATGGTAGGGTATGTTATGTTCTAGTTTTCACTGGTTATAGATGTTACAGGACTTGCTACCAGATGCCTGAAGATGTCTGTTTTCAAAGGCACCAAGTATATGATCTGAAAGTACTAGTGTTCTTTGCATTTCAAAATGCAAACATTCAAACATTGTTCTTGGTATGATCAGTCTTTAGAAAAACCATACCTAGTAGCTTGTTAAATATTCTCTGAGAAAAGGTATGTAGAATTAAAATGTTTAGATTTCGTTTAGTTTTCAGCTGATTAAACTTTACAGGTGTAGAGAAATTACAATCTCAACTACATTTTGGCCAACCATAAAAAGTACCAAGAGACACTGGGTACAAATCCCATATGGTAAGTGTACTAAAGTACTTAATTTTGTTATTTGATATAACCACCTCCATTGTATCAATACAGAGAAAGAAGCCAAAGCCATTGCTGGCATCAGAACTGTTGCATTTTCACCTACCACCAATACACTAAAACACCTGCTGCCCACCTACTCTTAGAGCCAAAGCTACTGTAACGCATGACGACTGTCATTAGCTTTACATAATTATGTGACATATGTGGGCATATGTACCCATACTCTCACTCAGCTACAACAGCATTATTTCCATCTCTGGAGACATAGGAGCTGTGACAATAGCAAAAGAATTTTAAGAAAGAAAACCCAAAATCAGTATAGACAGAGCATCAAAGTGATGACTCTATATTATGAAAATTCTGGGGAAGCATTAAGGCAACAGATAGAAGTATCATATTAATTTAACACAGAAAGAATTGGGAGAAATATGGCTGGTCATTCTAGTTAGAGAGATTCCTGCTTCTCAGTTAACGTAGTAAATCTTCACAAGTACAAACAGTTTTCAAATTGTGCTTCAGTCTTTGTACCTGGTTACAAAAACCCCCAAACCAGCCAAAACTCTTATGTTTTTACTATGTTTTCTATACAAATACAAGTGAAAGCTGCAGACATGCAAGATGCATACCTGTTAAGAAGTAAGGAAAAAAACTGATAATTAGTTACTTCAGACTTCAAGATAAGCACCTCTGGGAAAAACTATTTTTGTGCTGATTATCTTTCTAATATGCACTTAAACAAGGCTCATACAACAGGACATTCTGTTCAGCTGCAGGAAAAGAAGACTTCCTGTCAAAATAGAATAAATAACCATATACTTACTTTAAAAAGACCATATACCATTTCTTTGAATTTCTCAACAGTGGTTCCTCTTGTTGGTTTATCAAATAGGACTATTTCCTTCCTTGGTTCCGGGTCAGTACCAAAATCAAGTTGAGCAGCTTCTTCCATCTGGCATTTTATAACACCTTGCAGATTTCCCCAGATTCCTAAATACATCTATGCAGGAAAAGAGGGAAAAAGGTAAAAAACACTGAAGACCACCTGTACTCGAACCACTGCTTCAAGAGTCAAGTAGCAACACGGATTGGAATACCGAGTCCTGTGTACAGACAATGCACAGAGCACATTCAAACAACGGCAACTTCAAATACGATGCACTATTGCAGGTACTTAGGAGACACTACACTGTCAAAATACAAACACAGCTTGAGAAACAGTATATTGGCATTACCACCATCTTTGCATAGGTTGTTAAGAGGCTGCTGCTTCTATTCGGGAAGCAGGATAGCAGAGAAGTAGTATGCTCTACAAAAGTATAGGTATTCTGTCACAACATGGAAGGATGTGGTACATTATATATATATGTGTTTATAAAATATATGTATTTTAAAATAGTAATATATCTCTACATATAGCAATAATATATAATATTACATGCAGGTATAATATATAGATGCATATGGCATATAATACATTATTAAGAATATATAGTATACCTATATATTCTCTCTATGATAGGTATAATATACCTATATATAAACACGCTCTGCATGTCACAGCAAATACAGTTTGAAATAATTTGTATGAAACATACAGCTTGCTGATTCTAAGGTCTACTTGATATTCTAGAGAATGACATTTCAGTGGAAAATGATAAAAACTGGTTGGAAGAGTAGAGCCTTACCTGATTATTGGGCTTTGTTGACAAACATTTTCCAAAATACAATGTTTCTTTAGCACAAAGACTGCTACATGCTGACCCATCAATAACTCCAGTCTTGTATTTATCACACTAAAACAAACAGAGAGAAAAATATTTAACAAATTGCCCAAGAAAGGAGGCAACGACCGTATTTCTCCCAACATCTGACTCTTGAAAGAAAAAAAATCTAAGAAAACAATTTTAATAACCCTATACCAAAACAATGTTAAGAAACGTAACTGGTTTTATCTGGAACTGAAGACGTAATCTTACTTCAACATGATGGAATATCAGAATTTGATTAATTTACATATGGCACTGACTGAATTGGCTGTGGAACTAGTCAGGACAAACACTTAAAGCTATGCTAAATATACTTACTATTATTTTCCTACAGTCATGTCCTCTGCATAGTTCTGTGTAGGTGGAGTACTGAACATACGTAACCCAGCTGCCAATAAATACTACTAACCAAGAGAGGAAAAGGTACTTCATCCGCATGTATGAGAAACGCACCTAGAGAACACAAAGAAAAAATATTCTCGGTAATTCACGCAGCAGTAGTCACAATGATAGAAACAAACATGATTTACTATTTCACCTTTAGGAATTTGACTTCCAATGATAAAATAAGCAGACTGCATTACATGGAACATTTGCTTCCCTCAGTGAGCAAAACTGACAGGGGAGGTCAGTTTGGATTATGTAGGTGGAAGGAAAATTAAAATATAAATAAATAAAGACAAGATGACAGACCCTCATAGGACAAGCTAGGCTGCAAGAACCAATTTGATCAAAACCATAAACTGCCAGAGCTCAACTACTTGCATTTGTCTCTAAGACCAGTTACTTATGTTCCACTCCTGGTAAACCAAGTCCAATAGACCAGAAAACTGGTAAAAAAAACCCAACCTGTGTTAATGTATAAACATGCAAAACAGATACACAACGAGCAGGGTGGCTATCAGGGACAAGTCCTATGTGCTGAAGCCTCCCGCTCCTTCCTTGAAATGATACCATTTAATTATTCAAGTAAAATTCCTCTGTACTAGCCTCACCTTCAGTGGTCTTTCTTATAACCACATACAAGATTTTCCTGTTGTTTCTGTGGCCTCACGTTTACATTTTTCACTAGGGATAGAGGGAAAAGTATTTATAAATTTAAGAATTGAGAGAGAGCTAAGTGCCTTGTAAGGGAGGAGGTTTTGATTTTTTTTTTTCCCCTCCTCTGAGTCTAGTGTGCTAATGGTTTGATTTTCATACTCACATCAGAATTAGAAAATAATTAGAAAGTCAGGATCAGCTTTAGCAACATCATATAAAGAAGGGGCATGAAAGCAGCTGCATTGGGTCAGTACGAGATCCATTTCTACTAGTATCTCGATCTTCAGCAATAGCTATAAATAGATGCCATTGAAGAGTGAGAACCTATAATATATATCCCAAATGTGCTCCCATTTTCCTCTACAAGAATTTGCTAAGCCAGATGTGATTTTCTGTATTTAGTAAATCTCAAACCACTTATCCTTCATGAATTTCCCCAGATTCCTTAAAATCCACATAAGTTTTTAGCCTTCACAACTCCCTTTAGCAATTAATTCCACAGGTCTACTATCCACTTTACTATCCACAGGGTCAGGGACTGGACTTTATTTTGCTTAAATCTGATTCATATTAGCTTTGTTTGAGATCCCCTATTTCATGGATTGAAGAGATGAGTTATCAATTTCTGTCCACTCTCTCCACATCTGTCAAGATGTTGTGAGCTTCCCTCACATGCCTCCCTGCCACATCATCTCTTTTCCAGATTGACAGGTCCTAACTTCGCTGTTCCTAATAGAGAAAACATTCCATATGTTTGGAAAAGGTTCCAAGAAAGATAGTAATGATAAGTAGTTTTGCCATCACATACATATATACATACCAAGTCAACCCATCTCACACAGATGGTTTCAGATGGCTCCATCTGCACTGGAGAAAAAAGCACTGAAATAATTCCAAATTGCTACAATTTGATAGCAATTATCTTAAATCACAGTAAATTGAATACATGGCTTCAGCTTTTAAGTATTTTATATTTTAGAAAAAAAAATAATGTTACTAAAGAAAATAATCTTTCACAAATATAGGAAGATCTTCAAAGATGCATTTCCCTTTCTAAATAGGCAATTTATTTTTAAGGGAAGTAAAATCAAAGAAGCAGTTCTAGTCAGTTCAACGGTAGCTTAGTTTAACAGCTATCACAAGAACTGACTTTTTCAAACCTTAACAAAAGAAGTATAATCCCTAGGTACAGGAGTCCTACTCTCAATGTAAAGCAGTTCCGACTCTTCTACCGTAACTCCTTTCATAATTCAGAGTATACTTTCACACAGGCACTCACTCCATCCGAAGACTAAAGAGAACGTATATCTTGACCCCATGTAATTCTGTAAGGAACATCAAGTCTCAGAGAAGCAGGAACGCAATAAACAAGACAGAAAAACTACTAGGAAAGATGATGCTATATGGCTCAGCCCTTCATTTTATATCCTATTATAATTCCATTTTATAGCATAACCATTTTAGAAAATAAACAGGTAATCGTGTATCAAGGGGAAGGTGCACACAAGGTGTTTTAACGCTTTCAAGTGCAAAACAGCAGTCCTAAATCCCATGTGACTCATTCTATGAGAAAGACTGAGAGCCTTTTGGCTGTATTTTGAGAGAAGTGAGTAGAAACCCCTTATGCTCAAAATGACCCCAAGATACAGGATCAAGAAGTCAAGGGCCTCAGTCCAAGGAAATCTTGATCCCCACGCTCTCCCCACCCCACCAAAACCACCAAAAAGCCCAAACTAAATAATGCAAGAAGTTAATCCAACGAATTATACAGAAAAGCAGGAACATGTCAGTATGGCCTTTGAACAGTTCTAGCATATTTCTCATGATGCTTCATGTCCCTTTCAAAACACAGCGTCATGAAATTCCGCATCAAAATAGTATTTACGGTTCCCAGATGCTAATAAATACGTACCCACGATCTCTGCAAGAATGTAAATTTAGATACAAAATGGGTGAACACTTCTCCTGAGGACAAGCAGAAGCAGATCAACCCACCCAAGGCCCCACAGGTAATGACTCATACATAAACCTAGATCTCAAAAGTCACAGTCGACTGCTCTAGCCCCAACTTCATATTTCTCTCCTTCTACAGCAGAACAAAAATGTTTTACTATTGTCTTTATGCGATCTATGGAAGCTTGTTCAAATCTGCACATTCTTCACCTTGCCTTATTTTTAAGCCTTGTTCCTCAACTACCAGTGCTGCGAGTGAAGCCAGTTTAAAGAAGACCACATACCGCAAGCAATTTTTTTTAACCATTCATATTTTAGATTGTTGAAGAGAGCAAAACAAATATTCCTTTCTGTAATATACATAGCAGATACATGTACCAAAAAGTCACTTAAAAACCAAATCATTGTACCCACACACAGTAAACCATGTTTATAGAATCCTTGTTCTTCTCTAAATATCCATGAATAAGACTAAATACTAGGATTTATCATTATTTAATGTAAAGGGTTTGTTTATGCTTTCTAAGAACTACTATCAGAATTTTGAAAGGCTAATTGTGGTAGTGTAGATGTCTAATAGTTTAAAGAAACTACAAATCTTTAACATAAATATAGGTTAAGAGGAACCAGGAATATAAATACCCAAACCCACACTTATTTTAAAAAAAAAAGATTACTCTCAAAGATTTGGGTCACTTGAATAAATTAAGTGCTTCGGTACTCTCTTATTTATATGTAACCAGAAAAGGAAAGGTAGGAGAGCGCTGTACAGGAACATAGGATTGTCATGCTAGACTACATCAATGGTCCACCAAAACAGATGCTTTGAAGAAAATGAAAAAAAAAACCAACAAAAAAGAGAAAATAAAATCACATCAAGGAATTATCAATGCAAATTTAAAAACCAAGTAATGAACTATTTCATCACAAGTTGTTGATTCACATCACGTTTTCTTCAAAATGGAACACTTTCTTAACCGCTGGTGACTGAAAGCTCATCATATGCATTATTATTTTGTGGCTAGATGTCTCTGACAGACACACCTAGAAGAACTGAACTTTCTGTAACCAGGAGCTTGAAATGCCTCGTACCTTTGGTTCCTCCAAATCAAGGGGCAAGTGTTAAACAGATAAATAAATCTGTATCTGATCTATGTTTAAGCGGAGAATTTCTGTTTCCAGGACAGCTAGCTCCTCAACTGATTAAAAATTTCAAACTGTTTTTCAACTTTCATGAAACTAAGCAAATGTTTTATTGGGAAAAATCAAGAGTTAAGCTGAGAAAAATAAAATGGAAAACTTGATACTGCTTCATAGTGAGCTCTCAGCCACAAGCTGAAAGCTTGGAAAGCTTATGGAGGGAGACCTAGGAGGGGAGGGAGGAAGTGGGGCCCAGAAGATGGCAACAGGATGAACAATATCGTTTAGCTTTAAAAACAGAACTGCAGCAGATGTAAGTCAGCTTTTATTTTTTTTTTACCAGAAAGACTACAATAATTTATGAGTACTTATAAAAATACGACAAACAACTAGCATGCATTACATCCTTTCCTCTTGAAAGAAATAATGAAAAAAATTCAGTTCCAAAACACCTAAAAGTGATTCCAACTCATGCAGCTGTGGTCCTGCCACATGCATCTCAGCTGTGCATCCCTATTCCTTCACCTCTTCACACATACTTACTTGACTTAATCTTAAAACTACCTAGTTAAAAAAAAGGGGATAGATACAACTAACTGCTTTTATTCTGGTGACAAATCTTGACCAGATAGTTCCTTCAACTAGTTCTTCTTTTATGATATTTATTGGGAGTGTTGTAAGACAGGAATAATTTCCAGTATTTTCCTCAGAGCCACAAAGACCTTAGTTGGAGTAACATGTAATTTCCTCCAAAGCATGGTATCCACGATATGGATACAAATTGGATGGAGTACCAAAGGAGATCAACACTAATGCTGTGTGGTTTACAGTACTTTTAGAAACAGCTTAGAAAAATGTATGATTCCCTGCCCATGGCAAGGGGGTTGGAACTA